CACCCTCCCCCCGTGTCCCGATATTTGACTTGGGTGATCTGGTCACCCTAATAATAGGTCTGAGACTGATGTGTGGCAACAATAAAAAATATATCCCCTTGTTCTTATCAATTTGGCTATCAAATTAAATGTGTCATGGAATCTCAAGAGGTCTGGCAATAAGCTGAGCTGGCTACCATATACAAATCTTGTGCATTCTTGGCCTTTCCTTATATCAGTAGTATAGCCAAAAGAAGCCCTGTAAACGTAAGAATTTAAGACAACAGGTGTCTCAGCACAGTAGATGGCATAATGCCCAATGGGCTCAAAATATTACTAAATGTAGAGACTGCATGGGAGGCTGAACAGACTTGGGGTCAGAAGGAGACGTTAAAGGAGACAATCATTCATGGGGGGAGGGGTTAAGAATTGGAGTATGGGGTCCAGGTTCCTGTGCTAAATCCTAAACTCTATCAATAGAAGGGAGTGGAAAGGAGTAAGAGTATAAGGCATTTCTGAGGAAAAAAAGGATGCAATCAGGGGGAAAGAGCAGAACGTGATTTGCATGGACAGTGGGGAAAAAAACAAGGCGAGACAACATATTTTTGTTTTTTTTTCCAAACCAGTTTTCCCATCCCTATTTTAATGTGCTATATGACAAGATCCTCTTTCAGCTTGCCTAACAAGATGTCTACTCAATGCACTGAAACAGCATCCTCAGCTACTTCAAAGTTCTCCTGCACCTGACATGCTTTTTCCTCATTGTAAGGTGACTAAGACAATGATTTAGGAAGACTAGTTTCACAACTAGCTGTGCCCTTTTGCAGACGCCTCAGGGTAGGATGACATAATTTTGTGAATGTTCAGCATGATACATTTGGTCTGTTGGCAATGACAATATGTCCCAAATATTATATGTGGGAATGGATATTGAGTGTCATAACCTCATAAATGTAAGAGACCTGATGTTCCCAGCAGCACATTACTGATGAAATTATACATACTGAAATTTCATGAAGAAATTACATGGAGGACTCACGATGGAATCCAAGCTTTCCATAAGACTCCAATACAATGCTTTTGGGTGAGGGACAGCTAGGTGAATTATTGGTAGTGCCTTGAGCTACAACTTGCAGATCTAACTGAATTGTAATCTCTAGTCCTTTTGCCCAAGTTCTCTGAACTCTGAAGGAGGAAACAATGGAACACATCACTACCATTGTGACCCTTGCTGACTAATTAAAACAGGAAGCAGTGCTTCAGAGGAGGCCTAGTTCTTGTCTTGGTTGCTACTGAACTGGCTGATGATCAAAGCAGCACAGATACACCTGCTGGATGGCTGATTGCAAGATATTCTACAGTGAGGAGGGCAAGAAAGGGAGTAAAACGTAGCTTGTCATGAATTTCAGCCCTACTGCCAATGGCAGGATCTTGGTTCTTTGTCAAACCTGTCAGGTCTAAAGGTTACCACTTTGGGGTGAAGCCCAGCAGAAAGCCCAACAATATGTAATGAAGCCCTAGCAGTTTCTGGGAGGTGTTAATTCATGCAAATAAATTAAATGAATGGAGTCATCTTCCTCTTTCCTGCTCTTCACAATTTCTTTACTTTCGTCTTGTGAATGATTCTTTTACAAAACTCTTGAGAATAGGAATTTTTTTCCTGACATTGCTTTTGAAGCAAATTTCAGCTGGTTTCATTGCAGTCAATTGCACCATACATTTCCAAAAGACACAAGGCAAAGGGAGGGGGAGGCTAGACGGCCCTTCTCCCAGACATCACAGTGAAGTTTATTTATACAGAATCAATAGAAACCATCAGTCACAGAATTCAGTAATTAAAAGGCTGATTGAGCTTGACTTTTGACCACCTTATTTTTTTTTCTGCCTTTGACCTTTCCACTTAACCAAACTTCAAACTCAATCTCCATCACAGACACAAGCCCTGATGCTGCAAGGTTCGGTGCACACTCAGCTCTCTGAGGTGCCCTTGGGAGATACTCAGCATGTTGCATGATCAAACCCAGATTTAGGTAACATCTGTGACAGAGAGAAGTCCAAATTGTTAGTCATTAGCTACTAAAGGGGAGGAGTTTGTCAACCCCTTTTTCTGCATGTCATGTTAGTGGTGTCATGTTTCTTAAATCTGTTAACCAGCTGTTGTCATCTGAGATGCTCCTGTGTCTTTAAGTGAATATTATACTCCATATACAAAATTTGACTGCCCTTTAAAAACAATGTGAATTCCTTCCTTGCTTGGTAGGTAAAAGGACTTCTGCTTAACTGGCCTATTTTTAATTTTAGAGTACTAAAGTATGCATGCATTGAAAGTTGAAACACATATTACAAATACACTGGCTGAGCAGTTATTTCAATGACAAAGCATTAAATCATAATGAGGAAATAACTAATGTGTTCAGTTAGCATACTGTAGGAACAGATATTTCCCAGAAAGAACTTCAGCCAATAAAGGGAAAAAATACCTAGAGATATCATGCGCACTGATTTCTGAGTAAATCCAACATGTTTAGAGAAACATTTTAAACAAGTACTGTATCTGACAGAGAAATAAAACCATTATATGAATACAAAATATGCATGCAAAATAAAAACCATGATCACCTGACAAATCAATCTCTGCAAATAATATATGTGGAAGAAACTAGCAATGTTCATGGGATGCATTTTTTTTTAAATACACCAGTGTTATAACTTAGTGTTCTCTCTAGTAATTCAGAAATGGAACTATTAATAATTAGAATCTTAACCACTTGGTTTATATGCTAATTATTTAAAAGCAGATTGTATACCCCTTACCCTCTGAGCAGTGACTCACATGAGTAACCCTACTGACTCAAATCCCATTGACTTTATTGGAACTACTTGTGAGAGTAAATGTTCACCAGGGTGAGTAAAGGGTTCACAATCTGGCTCTTAGCTCTTATTAATTATTCATTACAATACTTCAGTTAAAAAAAAAACTTTATAGTAAAGCCATGCAATGGTTACAAATCATTTGTCTACTGAGCTAAAAAATGTTGGCTTGGCTCTGGAAAATGAAATCACTGATTTATAGTCTCTTACATTTTCCAGCAGATCTAATGAAACGTTATTCCCCTCAGAAGTAAACGAAAATCCACTTACCATATACTCCATGTTTGAAGCAGGTGGAAAGACTTTGCCTCTGACTTGATTATGATAATCGAGGATGGCAATCATGTCATTCTGTGAAATGTACCGCTTCCGCCTGACTTTGGGGATTTTTGCAGAGTCCAAGTGAGCTGCCAAAGCTGCTTCAATGTCAGTGAAATTTTTGTTTGAGAGGAATAGGTCAGTGGAATTGGGTAATGCTATTGCACTTGTTTCACAGAGAATGAAAAATAAGAAGGCACAACTGATTGCAGAGATTACTGTCATTTTAGGGCCAAGGGAGGAAGATAGGCCAGAGGGTTGCTCAGCTTTAAGACAGGAGAGCAGAGGGCAGATCTGTGGAAGAAAAGGTGTCAAAAGATGTGATTCTATACACAAATTTATGGCTTGATAGAAAAAAGGAACCTTTTCCCCCCTTAAGATCAAAAGGTTTTTTTTCTTTCACAACTTGTTAAATCTCTGATACAAAGCAAGCTAGAGCTATTTCTTCATAACACAGTGTATGAAAGTGAACCTTAATATGAACTTTTAAAAACTAAGGTCAAAGTGCCATCATATCTGGACTGCCATAATCACAGATACACACCATCAATTTGTACTACACACCATACTCCTTGTTCTAACTGGGCAGACTGCAAGGAATCTCACAGAATTTTATTTACTGGGGATGAAAAATACATTCCAGGGCATGTCTTTTACTGCTTGCACTCATGGCTCTGATAATGCCTCACATACAAACTAACAGGCAAAGAACATAAAAAAAGCATGAAAATAGGACATCTTAGTAATAATATTCAAATCTTACTCCAGCAAAATGTGATGAACAGTAATAAAAATGCATGCAAAGCAAACTTATTGAGTTGAATGGCTTACCTCTGTGTAATACCAAAAATCAGTACAGTATACTGTGATCCCAATTTATACAGCTCTTTCTTATGCTGTAGTGTGAACCATTGTAATGAGGATTGTGTCTTATTACAAACCCTCAAAGAACAAAAGTCTGCTAGTTTTGAAGCTGCTGGCTACAGGAGCTACTAACAGCTTTTATATATTACAGTCTGTATGATCCAGAAAGGGCAGTCTCTAAGTCTCTTCCTAGCCAAAATGGGAGGGGAGGAGTTTTGCACAGAACACACAATGATTGGGTGGCATCTTTTTAATGTAGGTGGTTAAGATATTGTGTCATACCCACAGCTGCTATACAACAAAGAAGCAAAAGACAAACCTCTTTTTTTTTATCAGTACTGCCTACCTTTTCCCTTACAGTTCCTCCCCCCCCCCCCCTTTGATGAAATTCATCTTGATTTCCTAATACTATTTTATGGTGATAATGGGAGATATATATGTTTTGTTTTAAAACAACAGTATTCAAGTAACAAGCAATACAATTTATATAGGCAATGACTGGGTATAAGGTAGTGACCTGGTAACTCAGACAACATACAAAGTGAGTGCTCAGAATAGTCCATGGGAATGTCTTTAAAGAGTGGTTTCTCACTGAGCTATGCTAGTGGGCTTACAGAGCATGCAAGCAGCAGCATAAAAGAAGTGTTTAGTTCATTCATTGTGGAGTGCACCAGACACTCAAAGCCCTGCTCCTTCTCGCTCACTCTTTTGCTCTGGCTTTCTCTCTCCCTCTCTCTCTCATACACCTACAAGTTCCAAAACAAGGATCAATAAAGCTTATAACTAACAAATAGGTCAGTTACCTGAATGTCTGCCTCTGAGAAACTACAGAAACAGCATGACTAAGAGTGAGAGAGGGCCAGGGAACCATCTGTTTCAGATTTAATAGCATATACATTGGAATTATTTAGGCACAGAATGGTTCAGCCACTCATACAGCAAAGCTGAGGGCACAATACTGAGGCCATGAAGAATGTAACAGCAGCAGCAGCCAGTGGCTAGCAGCCAGCAGTCAGATATTAGGGGGCTAGGGATTGGAGCACATTCAGTTTCAGGCTGAACGAGTTGCCAGGAGTAGGAAATTTGGGGCACTCTGTAAGACAAGGCCCCTCAAAGTATTTTGTGATGTCATAAACAAGATGTGGAATATTCACAGGACATGGGGAACGGAAACACTTTCAAAAGAGGACTCATCATTAGTTTATACACCATACATTATCACTTACTGAGTTTGCTAGTGCACTAGTTTGCAGTATTTCACTACATGAATTTGTAGCCAGGAAGTGTGATCCAATGGTCAGTTCATGGGACTGGAAGCCAAGACTTTTAGGCTCTATCAGGGAGCTGTGTGTGTGGTCTACATAAAGTCATTTAATTTCTCTGTGCCGTATGTACAATAGTCCTTCACAGACATGTTGTAAGACACATATCTGGCTTTTGTTGATGCACTTTGCAATTAAAGGTGTTATGTAAGGATAAGGTGTATTATTATTATTCTAATAGTGTTATTATGTATGCCCAAATTGTCCAACACTGGCGCCTAAATTGTACCCACAAAATATTCATATGGATGACGAAACAAGAAATTTTGAACACCAGCATATTCTGCGTGTATGATATTGGATAATTTGTTCCATTTAATTTTCTCCCCTATGTAAATAAAGTGCATATTTGTGTATATTACTGATAAGTAACATCTCCTTGTTTGAATATAACAGGACAGATACTCAGTGTAAATTGTCAATGATTTACACAAGTTGAGAATCTGGCCCAACCTATCAAGAAGTTCAAAGGATTAATTTTGTAAAGCAATCACATTTTAGATTGGTATCATTATTACTTAACATTTATATTGTGGCTAAAGGCTACAATGAAGTAGAGCCCCACTGTCCCAGGTTCCAAGTACTTTTGCCATAACATTTTAAACCCTACAAAATGTTTAAAAATAAAATCAATTTCATCAGCCTACTCCTACCCTGTAGTCCCAGTAAAAATAAATAAGTAGAACATTGAAGAGTGAAAAATATCACATCTTCAAATTCCCAGCCATCAACTCACTGCACCAAAGCCTAAAGAAAACAGATGAATTTCACACTGGACCTTCAGGTCAACAGATTAGGACTATGTCAGACCAAAGTAGGGAATGAATTCCAAAGTCAAAGGCCCTCTGCCACCAGCACCCTCTCTGTTGCACCAAAAGGACCCAGCCACAGTGCTGAACTCATCTTCAGCAGTATCACATGGGGGGATGGATACTGTTTCAAGCAGACAAGTCCCAAGCCAGCTACGATTGTATAGGTAAAATCCTAATAACCTTTAAATTCCATTTGGAAACCAATTGCTAGGCAACAAAGATGGAACACATGAAGTACTGGTGTCATGTGCTCAGAATGAAACACACTTCTGACCAAGCAGGCTGCTACTTTGAGCACCAGCTTTAGTTTCCTAATTGTTTTAATATGTTGTCTCATGTAGAGCATGCTGTAGTTTAGTTTGGTGGTTATGGTTGAGGATATGGATGTCAGCAGTAGCAAAGTTGGCATCTGAAAAACACTTAGAATAATTTCTTCAAATTGGTCATCTCAACACCAGAAATATATCAAAAAACTGGGACTCCTGGGTGCTACAATACTACTACTTCAGAGTTCTGAAGAAGTGAGGTTCTTACCCACGAAAGCTTATGCTCCCAGTACTTCTGTTAGTCTCAAAGGTGCCACAGGACCCTCTGTTGCTTTTTACAGATTCAGACTAACAGGGCTACCCCTCTAATACTACTACTATTACTACCAATACTAATAATAATTAATAATAATAAATGGAGGAAATGTTAACGACTCCCGGCAAGAATCCTACTTCACCAAAATTGCTGCTGAGCATACCAGACAAAGATGTCTCCTAGAATGTCCCTTCTGGATTGCCAGAAGTTCTCTTACTAGGTGTATTATGATGTTCCATTGATTTGAAGCAACTAGCATACTTTTGGACATAGATAAACATTTCATTGGAACATCAGCAGCACAGAGGAGAATAGCAAGAGTATTTACTAAACAGAGTGTACTTGTCATATTAAAAGTACATTTTCCAGATGTTTTGTTGGTTGCTGTCATATTACGCCATTCTGTGCAGTGCTATGATGTCCCTTTAGGGTTCTTATCGTAACCAGCAAAATGAAAATAAATGAATGTATTAGAGTTGAACGTCTTTGTGTAGATAAATTACAAAACAAAGTCTCCCAATCCATTAACGTAGTGTCTGCAATGCTCATCATTTTGACTCCTGGTGAGCGAGCCTAAGCATTTTTGTCATGCTGTCTCATAGCTCTGCAGTAATGTTTCCCCTTTATATGGTCCTTTGGAGATATTTAAGCATCTTTACAACTAAAGCTGTCACTGAAAAAAATCTAGTGTATTGTAGTACTAAAAAAGGTAAGATTTCTCATACTGAGCACAGAGATTTATATGTTTAATTTCTGTTGGACTGAGCAGCCATTTCAGCAAAGGATAGTATACAGAAGGGAAAGGAAGACTATTGGAATAGATATCCTTCTGTCTGTCAGGCAGCAAGGATATACCTCCAGGAAAGCACAATCTGGTCTGAGTGATATTTCTTTATTCAACACTATTAATACTTCTTTTCTTATGAAGAGGTGGACCCAGCATCAGCATTGCAAAATGCAAGGCTATTCATCATCACTATTTCTTACTGACATAGAGGACTCAACTTTCTGAATATGCCACTTTTGTGAACAATAGATACAGTTTAACTCAAAAATGGCCAAAATGATTTCTGTGTGTGGAAAGTTAATTTTGAAAAATTCCTTGCTAAATTATTATGTGGGAGGTAGTGTGGTCTAGTGGATTATTAGCCTGGGTCCAGAGTGAGAAGAACTGAGTTCTATGCCTGTCTCTTCTACTAATGGCTGGATGACCTTGGGTAAATCATTTCCCCTCCAAGCCTTTGTTTATTAGGAGTATAAGCTCTTGATGGCAGGGACTGTCTCAATATAGGTGTTCATGCAGTGCCTAGCACAATGTAACCTCCAATCTTGGTTTGCACATCTTAGTGCTCCTGTGACTTCAGAGGGAACAGAGCTAGGTTAATTCTTTGAACATCTATCTATTTAAGAAACGTATATGTCCCCCATTCCCACAGCATCTCAGTGCCACACAGTCTTTAATATTATTATCCTTACAACACCATTGTGAGGTAGGGAGGTACCGTTCTACCCATTTTACAGATGGGGAACTGAGGCACAGAGAGACGCACAGGTTTTTAAAGCTATTTCGGAGCCTCATTCCCATTGATTTTAATGTGAGTTAGGTCCCTAAATACCATTAAAAATCTGTCCCTTGATCTCTCTATGTCTCAGTTCCCCATCTGTAAAATGGATATAACCTATGGGATCTCATAGGAAGTGTCTAGCAGAGCAAGGAATAGAAGCCAGATCTGCAAGTCCCAGGCTAATGCCCTAACTGCTGGGCCATCCATCCACCCCTCACTAAATGTGGATTTGGTGCCCAGCTTTTGGTACCCAGTTTGAAAATGCTGGCCAATATGCAGGTTAAAAATTAATTGAGATAAAATAAAATTAGATCGGAGTCTAGGAATCAAAGCAGTCAATTAAAAATTACAAGTCTATTATTGCAGGATAAATTATTAATAGGTCCAGAAGATTAAGAATCTGTGCATGGAGAGACCCGTTATAGGTAGATTTTCTCTTCACTCTCAGGTGCTGGGGAGGGGTGTGTGTGTGTGTGTGTGTGTGTGTGTGTGTATTTTCCTGTTGAGCTATTATTGGTCGACCAATGCGGACGGTGCCAAACCATTGAAAAGTCTGCTTTAAAGTCATGCTTTAGACCAGGTAAAACTCTTGATTCCCAAGATGACACAGTTTGACTTTGTCTGCACAAGGTAGACAAATCATGTTAGAGACCATTCTAGCTGAATTGAAAAGCTCAGTCCCAAGGGTTGGAGCTAACTGCAATGACTTTTCTTCCTAAAGGTAAATATCTTTTCCCCTAGCATCAGTTGTACCGTATAATTTTGGCATCCAAATGATTTAACAATTTAGTGGGTCAAGTAATTCTATTGGCTTCAGCTGAATTAAATGAAGTTAATTTAGTCAACTTCATGTAGAACATAGATATGGCA